TTAAATATATAATTTACAGAGGTTTTATTTTTTTCTTGGTTGTGGGGCTTGGACTCTGGGCCTGGGTGCTGTCCCTCAGCTCTTCAGCTCAAGGCAAGTGCTCTACCACTTGAGCCACAGCACCACTTCTGGTTTTCTGGTGGTTTATTGGAGATAAGAGTCTCTTGGACTTTCCTCCCTGGGCTGGCCTCAGATCTCAGCCTTCTGCGTAGCTAGGATTATAGGCATGAGCCACTAGCACCCGGCTACAAAATTTTTATAAATGTACATACAACTGTACTCACTTCTCACTGTCTTAGTAGCCTCTTAGTCAGTTTCTAGGTTTCAAGAGTAACTTGTCCTATCTTCGGTCATGATCTATTGTATTGCCCATCTTTAGACTTTATATAAATGGGATCACATAGTACTGTTTTGTAGGTAGCTTCCTTTATCTGTTATCACATCTTTTACCTGTTATCTACATTACTTGGGGTAGTAGTTTATTCTTCACAATTGTATAGTATTGTTTGAATATGGCATATATGTATTCAATCCATTGTTGATGACTATTTGGTTTGTTTTCATTTTGAAGATATTTAAATAAAGTTACTATGAAATTGGTTGTCATGCTTTTAGGTGAACATGTGTCCTGTATCTGTTGGCTAAGAGTGGAGTTTCTGGATGATAGTTGAGATGATCAGTGTTAGGAGAGGCTATCAAGTGCCTTCTAAAATGATAGTAATAATTCAGGTTCTCTTCAATAGCAGTACAGAGCTACAGTCACTGTTCTTCCTCACTCAAAGCTGGCATTTTTAAATAGCTTAAAATTTTTAGTCATTCTAATAATGTGTAAAGTCATCTTGTTGTAGTTTTAATTTGCATATCCCTCTGATTAATGGCATCAAGTACCTTTTTCTTCATAATTTTTTATTGGCACTCGTTTTATAACGTGCTTGTTAGAAGTCTTTGAAAAAAAGTCTTTGCATTTTTAACAAAATCTTTGAAAAAGTTGTTCTGTTAAGCTATTCTGTATGTCTAATATACATACGCTAATTAAATATCTTCTCCCATTGTACCTTTTAACTCTGTTAATAGTGGCTTTTAGTGATGAGAAGTTTTAATTTTAATGAAGTAAAATTTATTTTTTATGTTCCACTTAAGAAATCTTTGCCTAACCCACTCCCTTGAAGAGAGTCTCCTTTATAAGCTTTATTGATTTCCCCAGTGTATCATCTGGGATAAAATGTTTTATGTGGCATTGAAGTCTTCTTACATAAGATGAGTGGACTACCATTTCCTCCTGTCTTGGATGGGCATGTGATTACAGATTGGATGGCTATGTATCTGGGTTTCTACTCTGAAGGTTTTTTTTTTTTTTTGGGTAGGTTGTGGGGCTTGAACTCTAGGCCTGAGTGCTGTCCCTGAGTTCTTCAGCTCAAAGTGAGCACTCTACCACTTGAGCCATAGCACAACTTCCAGTTTTCTTGTGGTAGTTGGAGCTAAGAGTCTCACGGACTTTCCTGCCCAGGCTGGCTTTGAACTGAGATACTCAGATCTCAGCCTCCTGAGAGCTAATATTACAGGCGTGAGCCACTGGCACTCAGCCACCATGTAATAAGTTTTAATAAGTTTTATAAGTTTTATAAGTATTGCTGTTGAACCCTCTTAACTTTCATCTTCAAAATGACTTTCATCTTGGCTTTATGTTGTTGTTGTCCATTGTGGGGCTTGAACTCAGGATCTGGAGCACTGTCCCTGAGCTTTTTTGTTCAAGACTAGAACTCTACCATTTGAACCATAGTTCCACTTCCAGTTTTTAGGTGGCTAATTGGAGAGAAGAGTCTCATGGACTTCACTTCCTGGGCTGGCTTCAAACCATGATCCTTAGATCTCAGCCTCTTGAGTAACTAGGATTACAGGGGTGAGCCATCAGTGCCTGGCTTTATTTTTGCCTTTTTTATTTCTATTATAAACTTTAGAATTAGCTTGCCAATTTAAACATGCGCGCGCGCACATACACACACACACAACACAGACTACCTCTTAGAAACAATTTTGTGAGAGTTAATATTCTTCCCTACCAATGTTGGCTGATTTTTTCATATTGCTTTTAGGCTATGTAAAAGCCTTTTTCCTGGCCCTTTGGGGATGAATGAAGTTTAGGGACCCACTGGTGGTTTGAGTTTCAAGTGAAAGTTGGTTTGCATATCTTCTTTCTTCAGGACTTTAATGTACCATCTCTGCCCTATCCTATGCCCACACCCTTGGCTTGTACTATTGTGATATGCTTAGCCAGTGGAAAAGGGACACAGGCAGTCCGAAGGACTGGCTGTGCCCCAGAGCAAAGATTGTTAGAGATCCCAACCAAACAACCTTTTTCTGCTAAGCCTCCCCTGGCTTCCCCTTCAGCCTCTGTGTGATAAGGCCTCTCTCATTACTAGGTCCTCTCCATATTTTTGGTAAGCCCTGTCCAAATTAAACAGTTTGAACAGATCATCTGTTTCCTTTTAGGACATTGGATTCTACAGAAACAGAAGAAAAGGATTATTGTGGGTTGCTTTAGGAGAGTTTTGAGAACCCAGACGTGTTATGTTGGCGATAGTTTTGCTGGGCCTGTTTGCTGTGCCTCCCTCTGGCTAAACCTGCTGAGTGTAGTGTAGAGGCTCCATCTCTCTCTTTCTGGTATCATTTGGAAGCATCAAGGGACTTTTTTTTAATTTAAAAAGTTAGATTAGTAGTCTCCAAGTGTCCTTTTAAATGACAACAGGCATTTTAGCCATGAGTTATTTTTCATTTTCTGCCTTACTAAGTTGATAATGGATGCTGCTGTGTTTGTGCTTGTATCTCAGAAACATCCACAGCATCGCCTGAGGACATTAGAAGGTGAGGCGAGAATGTTACTAGAACAGACTTTCAAGGAGTAATAAAACCACTGCTATTTGAAAAACTAGAATTGCAGCACTTCTGGGGATGGCAGCCTCAAGCTACCTAGAATGAGAATTTTGCTAATTCCTTAGTGAGTTTTACACTGCAGTCATTTAACTCTTCTTTTGACAGTAGAATTATTTAGTTGTCTGCTTTAGGAATTAATTTTTGGAATGATATCTCTTACCACTGATTTCTTACCCTAAAATAGAAATTATATTCTGAATGCCATATGATGACAGCAATAGTTAACCTGGGTCACACCTCATCATGCTGACAAACAGGACAGTGCCAGACTGTTTGGAGTTTTAAACAAGAAAATGCAGCAAATAAAATGATGCCACATATTTTCCCATGATTTCCACCGTCTTAAAAAGTAAATAATACCAGGAGCTGGTGGCCTATGCCTGTAATCCTAGCTGTTTAGTAGGCTGAGATCTGAGACACAGTTTGAAGCCAACCTGGGAAAGAAAAGTCCATGAGACTCTTATTTACAATAAACTTCTCAGGAAAAGCTGGAAGTGGTGCTGTGGCTCAAGTGATAGAGCGCTAGCCTGGAGCAAAAGAAGCTCAGGGACAGCACCCAGGCCCTGAGATCAAACCCCAGGACTGGAAAAAAAAAGTAAATAGTAAATGGAATTCTGCTGTGAGGAGTTTGCTTTTGAATGAGACACTGCTAATTGGGTGTTAAATTTCTGTGAATGCATAGGTGCACTCTTTGTTTCAGTCCTGGTGCTCTCAGAGCCTAGGTGCTGTGATTTTGCTTTTTCTCTCAAGGCTAGCACCCTTACCACTTGAGCCAAAGCTCTACTTTTGGCTTTTTTTGTAGTTAATTGGAGAAAATCTCCTGGGTTGGTTTGAACTGCAGTCCTTAGATCTCAGCCTCCTAAGTAGCTAGGATTACAGATGTGAGCCACTGGTGCCTGACTGAACTTTTTTTTTCTTTCTAACTTCCAATTTGTGCAACTATTGATTCTCCCCTCATCCCCAGCTTGCCTTGGGTGTCTGTGTCTAACCACCATCCACCTAACATCACAGACCTTGGCCATATGAAATTGCTTAAACTGGAAGTGGTAAAATGGTGTCTATTAGACACACTTGTGACACATGTTATTTTTTTTTTTTAATGTTTTAAATTGGAAAACAGAAATTAAAAAGGTTTAATTTCTAGCTGGGTGCCCGTGGTCACATCTGTAATCCTACCTCTTAAGGAGGCTGAGATCTGAGGATCACGGTTCAAAACCAGCCTGGACAGGAAAGTCCATGAGACTCTTAGCTCCAATAACACCATAAAACTGGAAGTGGTGCTGTGGCTCAAGTGGTAGAGCACTCACCTTGAGCTGAAGAGCTGAGGAGCAACGTCCAGGCCCAGAGTTCAAGCCCATGACTGACCCAAAAAAAGTTTCAATTTCCACTTTTTGCAAAAAATGAGATGATGGCCTTTACTCCAGCCTGGTGATGCTTGTCTTTTTGGGGGGGGCGGTGGGTAGGTGGAGAGAAGGTCTACACTCAGCAGAGAACCATAGTGTATCTTGGCTAGCCTCACTAGTATGTGACCTACAACACATTAGGTACCAAATGGGAATGAGAGAAATAACTGAAAATCTGCTTTATGTTGTTGATGTAAGAACTCCAAGTTCCAGGAGGCCAGAGAATTTTCTCTTTTGTCTTGTTATATCTCCGGTCCTTGTGTTCATTCACCTGAAAGGAAATTCTGCTTAGGAAGGTGTTACTAGCAGTGGTAACCAAGGAGGCATAAAGGAGGATGCTGAACTTTGGAGAATGTTTTTTAGCTTATGTAGGGCTGAGGACTCAGCTTGAGACTGAGGTAGATGGAATTGGGTAAGAGAGAATCCTGAGTTGCATCCTGGTGGGATGTGAAGGAAGAATGGAAAGGGTGAATTTGAAACCCAAGAAGCAAAAAAGCCATTAATCCAGCCAGGAGGGTGATAGGAATGGTTAGCACATATAGGATCCCTTGCTCTGCCCAGGCCAGTCTTTGCTTGTAAAAGAAATCTGAGCTTTAGTTACACCGAATCAGTGAATATGAATATCTGTTCTCAAGAGTTTCTCTCTTATGTATGCTTCTATTGCAGAGCTAAGACCATCAAGAATACAGTATCTGTGAACCTGGAACTGACAGCAGAAGAATGGAAGAAGAAATATGAAAAAGAGAAAGAGAAGAACAAGACCTTGAAGAATGTTATCCAGCATCTGGAGATGGAACTAAACAGGTGGAGGAATGGTAAGGATGGACAGAGGGGAAGAAGGAGGCAAGAGCACCTGCCTTCCCTTTTCTGTGACTGTCAGCATCCTGACCCTGGGCGGCTCTTGGCCAATGGGACAGCTGTGGAGCCTGGGCCTCAAAACACCCTGAGTAGACAAGGACAAGCAGATGTTTCCTTATTCTCTGGCACAGTGCCCCACCTCTGGCCCCTTGCATGGCTGGTGTACACCGGTATGGATGACAGTTTGTAAGTTGGCTTGAATCTATTTCCCATGAGCTGGCCTCTGTCTGTAACTCGTCTTTCCTCTCAAGAACCCTATTTGAAATGTAGCAGGTAGCCCTTGAGACTTTGTGGCTCAGGTTCCTTTTGACTAAATGAAAAAAGTCATTCACTTCCAAGAGTTTTATCATTGGTTTGGTGTTAAAAGTCACCCCTGGCAAATACTAAAATTCCCCCCTACTTCATCATCATGCTCTGCTTCTTCAGAGCCAGAAATAGAAGCTGGCGAGGCCCTGTGCTAAAATGGAGTCTGATGGGTCTGTTTCGTGACTAGCTTTCCTTCTTTTCCCCCCAAAACATTCTCTTTGGTTTGTTCCAGTGAGAGAAAATATCTCAGAGAGATATATTCATCCCAGAGAGCTGACGTGTAGTGGGTGGGTGGGTTGTGGGTGAAGTGTTAGGAGGGGTTTCCAGATCCAAGTGCAGACGGATTATCTTAGTGATTTTAGCATTGTGATGGAATTCAGAGGGTGAATGTCTGTATGTATGGAAGGGTATTGAGTGCTTGGAAGTCGGTCCTCAGATCCTATACTGCTCTGCTTTGTCAATTCAAGTGGTCCAGGAGAACATAGCTCTCAGCTCTGGATGAATATAGGAGCCTGGGGGCTGCTCTGTAGGATTAGGAAGTATCCTGTCTGTTTAACAGAAGATCGTCCATGTTTGCCTTAATAGCTTTTTGCTATTAAGGGTAGGGTGTCAATGACCTACTCTTTAATTGAGAAACAGTTACGTGGCAAACAAGAATTCAAGAGAGGATTTAAAAAAAAAATGACCCACTAGCCTAAATAACAGGATTCTTCTCTTTTCCAAAGAGTTTTGTAGCTGTACATGTGTTTTGAAAGCTGCTAGAGTGATTGAATAATTCAGCACCTGGGGCTGGTAGCTGATTCCTTGCAGTTTGGCAGGGCTTTGAGAGTCGGGAAGGTAGAAGGTGAGATGGAAAGTGGCTATATGAAGTTTTATTCTATTTCTGGAATCCTCCTGGGTCAGTTCTCTGTTGGATGACTGTAAATCCTTTGGTAAAGGGCTAGGAGATTGGCCTTGTAGACTATTGTGGACTGGGCTATTAACCTTGGTATTTTCCACCCTTTCTCATCACCTGTCATGCTCGAAAAATCCGATTCACCATCTGTCACCCAGTGCTACCCTCTGGGACCTGTCTCTGCCTTGATTGCTCGACTCACCTGTGAGCCTGGCGGCTCAGGGGTTGCTCTGCCCTGCTCATGGCCTCCTCACTTGGCCTAGTTTGAACTGTTTGTTTTTTTTTCCACTTCATGTGCATGGTGAATCTCCTGAGAACTTGATTGTGGCTTTTGATGATATCCTTAACTTATATAATTTGGGGGAAAATAAAGCATGTTTTCTGACACACCCTATACCTGTGCTGAATGTATGGTAAGCAAATGTGTGTTCCATGTAAACTCTGGAGACTAAAGGGTAGGCAGTAGGATATGATCATCAAGACAGACTCCAGTCACCATCAGTGCACATGTTGTGGGTGGTGTGTGTTACACACCAAGGAGGGAAACAGACACCAAGCCTGGGGTGGCAGGGAGGGCTGACTTGTGTTTAGAAGCCAGGAGAAGCTTCCTCAAATAAGCAGCATAGAGAATCAATCTGAGAGAAGCAGCAGTTTGTTGGGTGAAATAGGAGATGTGAGATCATGATGAGGGTTCGGGGGTGGAAATTGAGTTTTTACCATAGTTCTGTGAGGTGGGAAGAAGAGGATCATTGTGGTTCTGGATTGGGGAACCATGATCTGAGATGAGGTTGGTATTGGTGGTCCCAGAAAAGGCTATAGGATTTTGGCCACCATGTTGGAAGCAATGAGAAACCATTTAGGCTGCAGAGGATAAGATTTGAGTTTTGAACATCCCCTATTTGTGTTGGAGAATGGCCTGGGTGGGGAGAAATGAACTAAGGTAGTCTTCCAGGGGTGAGGGGATGGTAGTTGATTTGAAAGACATGGAAGTGGGAGAAAGAGAAATGAATGGACCCAAGAGGTATTTGGAAGGAGAAATTAGCAGGGTTTGGGGCAGATTAGCTATGGGGAAAAGGAGATATCAGAGGACTTCCAAGTTTTCTGTCTTAGCCAAGATGAATGGAGGTCAGAGCCATTTCTTGAGGTGGGAAATACTGGAGAAGCACCAAACAGAAACGGAGATGAGAAGGGAAGGATGAGGGGATTGGGAAGCATCTAGAAGAATATTTCGGGTAATCATGTAGGTTTAAGGGTCTGAAGCCCAAGAGCTCCCTGGGCTGTAGAGGGAAATTCAGTCATCTTTGATCTTTTGGTAATGATTGAAGGTGAAGTAGGGGGTGAGAGAACCATGTGGACCATGGAGAGAAGAGAGAGAATGGAGGAGGAAAGAGTCTTAAGGGATCTCTGTCACCCCATCATCATTTCACTATTGAGTGACTGAGATGGGACAAAGGAAAGGGGGGGTCACTCATTAGAGCTCTGTTTCCTTCCTTCCTCCTTAAATGTAGAGGACACACAGTGATATAGATTAGTCTGTGTGGAAAGAAGTGTGGGAGGCGGGCAGTGAGGAGACAAATGGCTCTGACAAACCCAGAGTACAGAGCTATCTGAAGGACTGACTGCTGGTCACAAGATCTATCAGCATATGACACGTGCACAACAAACCAAAGTGAGGGTTTTTTTGTTAAGCTTCAGGGGCTGGGTATTTAATCTACAACCAGTTTAGCCTTTGGATCCACAGGTTTCACAGCTCTCCCAAGGGGATCAGCCTCTGGTAGAGCTGGGACCTGACCCCCACAGTTCATTTCCTTCCTGTCATCAGGACTGTCTGCACATGGAGCTAGCACTCATGATTTATTGTGCAAGCCAGTGAGATGAGTGTGAAAAGTGCCACCCCAGAGAAGAAAGAGCCCAGAAAGCCCTCTGGTGTCTGTGTGTCTGCCCTACTTCCTCAGAGCAGCTCTTGAGGGCAGGGCTGCTGTGGGATGGAGTAGAGTTGGTATTCTCAAATCAGTAGGGCGGTGTTGCCAACTTTCTTGAAATGACTTGCGGCAAGTTAATTCATCTCAACATTTCCGATCTGGAGTTTTCCACATTGGGATGTGACCGAGTTATAGACTTGTCAGAACTGTGCACCCTCCTAGAAAGAGATTGCTTTTGTTGCAGCATGTGTTTGTAATTTAGAACTTCACTGCTATACTCCAGCTGTGAGGGAGCAAGGAAAGAGTGCTGCAGAGAAGTGTGTGTGTATGTGTGTGTGCGCGCGCGTGTGCAGTGTATGCATGTTTGTACTTTTTACTGCTTACGGACATGCGGTGGCAATACAGGCAGGGGGAAATCAGCTGTAAATCAGTGGCAGCAGACAGCCGTGAGGGAGGAACGGAGACATGCCTGATCCAATTGGCAGTGACACTGACAGTATAGGACCACAGGAGAGGGCAATCCCAGCAGCATTCCAACGTTATGAAATCCCACCCTCTCCCATGCCCAGAGGCACATCTACCGTCCCACACTTCTGCTTAGACCAATTTGCAACCCGTAAAGCTTAGTATGTTTGTATGCTACTGAAATCTGTATGTTGGAATCCTTCCCTCAAAGTGATGGTATTAGGAGCGGGGCCTCTGGAAGATGATTATTTCCTGAGGATTAGCGCCCTTAAGAGAGTGCTGGGAGGTTTTGCTTCTCTCTCTTTCTCTCTCTCTCTCTCTCTCACACACACACTTTACCCCCTCCCTTCCTGTGACTACCCTCCCCCCCCAGCTTTGTGAAGATGTGACAAGATTTTACCTAAAAGAGGTCCCATACCAGAATACAACTCTGCTGACAGTCTTAGACCTCCATCTCTTGGCCCTTAAGAAATACATTTCTGTTGTCTAGAGCCTCTCTTTGTTACTTGGTCATAGCAGCCCTGTCTACCTGAGACAGCGAGTTACTTGAGCATGCAGGCCAGGCAGTTTTCTTCTCTAGGCACAGTTGAATCTTGAGTCTAAAAATAGGGCTTGTGGCTTTCAGCATATATTCTGCATCAAGCCTTCATTCATTCATTTTTGACATGGTTATTTGAGTAGGATATCTGTGTTCATGTGCATGGTGGCTTAGGGAGAGACTATACTATAAATGAACACACAAAGAGAGCAGCCCCTTTCCCGGTTCAATTCCTAGTTTAAGGTCCTAAGGTAGCAAGCAACAGCAACTGACCCTACTTGTTATACTAGAAAGCAGTGCTTCCTTCTTCTCTTTGTCTGATTGTGTTGAAGATTTGGAGGCCTAGGATAGAAGAATCATTACCATTCTTGGCGGTTCTTTGTGGAGGAGCAGGATTCTGAAATAAATTGTCTAATGAAGACTATATGTATGGTAATTCCTTCAAAGGAAGTGGAGATGCTGTTCTGAGAATGAATATCCAGTAATTTAAAAGCATTAGAAGTCCACCATAATCTACTAGTGACATCTTGTGGGCTGCAGAGAATTACCAGTCTTTTCTCAAATCTCGTGGCTCTGCTGGCACTTGAGCCTCATGAAAATTGGTTCACCTACTTGCTTAAGGAGCAGATGGAGTGGGGAAGTGGCCAGAAAATAGATTTCTTTTTAAGGTCTCTGTTGATTTGTGGAGCATATGTGTGAAAAGGACTTGAGCAAACCATATATGGGGATAGATTTCAATAGCTGGTTTCAGAGTGAATTATTGGCTTTCACATCACTCTTGCTTTCATCCATTTAAAAAAAAAAAACCACCTTCTTGACAGGGAGATGGTA